GTTATGGCAATGGGACTTTTAGTAGATGATTTAGAATGGCAATATTACATGCAAGAAGCTTTTACTTTTAAAATACCATCCCAATTAAGATAGTTATTTGTTTTTATTTGTTTGTATTGTTCACCAAAAAATCCAAATCTATTATGGGATCAATTCAAAATTGATATATCTGAGGATTATGCTAGAAATGATATAAACTATTTTGATATTGCTTTAGTCGATATTAACTCAAAATTCCAACTACACAATAAATCTAATTATGATTTTGGTTTACCACTCCCAACTCTTACTCCCATTATTAAACACATGCTTAATATAAAGATCCCTAATTCATCACAAGACCAAATCAATGCAAATATAAATCAATTTAGTTATGAACAATATTATATTTTTGAACTCATTATAAATGCTATTGATACTAACTAGCATCAATGTTTCTTTATTAATGGACTTGGTGGTACTGAGAAAACTTTTCTACTTATTATTATAGCATTACAATTAAAAAAAATAAAAGTAATCAATATGGTATAGACTATAAGCATTTTGCTAAAATATGGTCAAACAGCACATACAACTTTTAAACTTCCTGTTCTTTTAAATGAAACTTCTGTCTTTGCGTTAACAATTGATAATGATGCTGGAAAAACCATTAAACAAGCAAATGTTCTCATATGGGATGAAATTTATATGATCTATACACATGCTTTCTCTATGGTTCATAAATGTTTAAAGCATCTCAAATGTAATTTTAAATCATTTGGAAGCATTATAGTGATTATAAATGGTGACTTTCGTCAAACCCTTCCTATTGTTCCCCATGGCTATAGAACTTCTATTATTTCAAGCTCAGTTAAAATGAATAAATTATGGTCACTCTTTACAACACTAACACTAATAAAGAATATGTGTTTAAGCAATCTTTATTTTTTTGAATGGCTTTTCAAACTTGGCAATAGTGATAATAATTTGCAATTGCCATGTCTCCCACCAAATATTATCAAAATACCACATGTATTATCTATCTTTACACCTATTGTAAACTTTGTTTTCCCAAATACCAATGACATTATAAACACTTATACAGCTGCATCAAAGGTTATTCTCACCCCACTCAATGATGATACATTTAGAATAAATAATGACATTGTTGGAAGATTACTAGGTGATTCATATGTTTACTTGAGCATTGACATATTTGACTTAGATCACCTTGAAGAGTTCCCAATTGAATTCTTAAATTCAATCACCTCATCAAGACTACCACCACACAAATTAATTCTAAAACAAAAAGTGATTTTGATTCTTTTTAGGAACATATCTCCACAAATTGGTTTATGCAATGGCACTCACCTCATTCTCAAGCAAGCATCTTGAAACATTTGGGACAATTCAAGGGATTGCGAGTTTTTATTCCACATATTACCCTTACACTTTCTAATGTTGAAATCCTTTTCAAGATGTCCTGAAGACAATTCCCAATTTGTTTGGGATATTGCTTAACTATTTTTAAAGCCCAAGGCCAAACTTTCAACCATGTTGACATTTACCTCCCGCAACCTGTTTTCATACATGGTCAACTTTATGTTGCTCTATCAAGGTGTAGATCACCTGAACAACTTCGTGTTCAAGTGCTTGCAACCCCCCTTCAAGGCAATCTTATACCACATGATCAACACTTTTACATTGTGAATACAATCTATGCTGAAGTTCTTAAGTAGACTGACAAATATATGGCATGATTCCAAATTTAACCATGATTTCACAAAGTTATCAACTCAGCCACCCTTGACTTGCAATTGTGAGTTTCAAGTGCACACCACAACAAAGTTAGCACTAAATGGTGTGCATTGGGTGGTGTGCCATTTTGGTTATAGCAATGTGCTATTGAGCTGCTAATGGCAGAGGTATAGTTTTCATCCTATTACTTCTTGAGTGCAACTCTCATTGTAGTATAATGGCTTCTGGCTCACCCAAGGAGGAACCTTTCTAGCAGGTTGTGGAGCAAATAGCAACACCTGCACCAAAGATGGACTTGGAAATATTCTTTAGGCTCTTTACATTTAAAATAGAGGAATGCAACTCAACAGTAATCTAATCTAGCTGATGTAATGCTCATGGGCAAAGTTCATAAATTCCAGCATAGGAAATCTGGATTTGAGGAGTTTAGACAACAATCAAGTATGGTAAATGCATTACTATTTTATGATTACAAATAATACGTTTGGTCAAGAGAATGTCTTTCAATTGTAGAGTTGATCAAATAGCAAACATAGCTAAGCTCAGCAAACCTCTTGAAATGGCATCAAATTTGCCAACCAGCCAACATTTGCTAGGCAATTGCTAGTAGTTATATATATTTATTGATCCTGAGTTGCGGAGTGAGGAGGCGCATTGCTCGAAGGCTCCAGCGGCGACGTGATCGGCAGCCAAGGAGGAGCTTTGCGTCCAGAGTTGAGTGATCGGAGCCCCTGGAATTACACCAGCGAAGAACCACAAGTTCCAGGCCTTGCAGCTCCCAGCCTCCCTCCTCTTCGCCTTCCTGGGCTCCGGCTCCGGCTCTTTGACTCCCCTCGCCCTGTTCCACTTCGACTCCCCGCCTGGTCTGGGACGGAGCTGCTCTTGATAGAACCAATGCAAGCGTTTAGAAAACTAGACAGCATGACAAAAAAGAAGTTCACATACCATTTATCCTCCACAGCCGAACTTGTCGAGGCAATCTTGGATGGAAAGCAGCCCATTTCACACCCCTGTCATGCCCCGTACTTGAAAGATCGCTGCTGGGGAGACCGTCTTCTTCCTAAGAGAGCTGATATCTCATAAACGAATAGTCTGATCCAGCGATGCAGGGACTGCCAGTTCCAAGTCCTGATGGTTTGATCGTCGCTAGCACTCACGATCCAGAGATACTTCTGATGGAGTCCGGATATAATCCAGATGCCCCAGCAGCACCTTCTCGCCTTGTAGTTCCAGACCTTGATCTTGTAGTCATCGCCTGGACCAGATCAATCGAAATATCGAGCTGTGGAAATGGACGCCGCGAACCGGCCCGTCGTGCTCGTCGAAGCGATCTATGAGAGATCCCATCAGGTAATCCCAATGATGCCGGTGTGGAAGATCTATGCCGCTTGGGATGGAAGCTCAGATCGAAGTTGCAAACATTTACTCGTTAGACAAATCTTGATGATTTTGCTCAAAATGACGAATTAGGGTTAGCATCTAGCCGCTGGTTTCTAGAGCAATCGGACGGTCACAGATCCGCTCTAGGCGCGTTGCGAATATTCTGATTCCTGGAGAATTTTTCTCTATGATCACCTATGGACGAATCTCTCGTTGCCCTCGGCGTCAATCACGATCTCGAAGAGCTCCGACTCGGCCTCGGAGGGAGTGGGCCTGCGAAGGTCTTGCGACAGCGCCGGCGATCCCTCCAACCGCTGGCTAAACAATTCGCCACTGTCGTACTGGATCGCCATTCGATTGGCGCCTCGATCGGGGTAGGGCCTGTGATTTCCAGGATCCGCCGTCCTCCTCGCGTTCTCGGGCAGGAATTCGAAGGCACTCTGGCCGAGATTTACGATCGCCGTGGCGTCAAAGTTACAGAGGAACGCCGCGTGAAGAGGGCTGCCGAATTCCTCCGCCCTGGAGCAGTCGGCCTGGCAGGTCATCTCGCCATTGAGCGTGAAGAACACAATTCGCGCGGCGGGGTTGAATCCACAGCCCACCGTCGTGTCGCCGCGAGCTGGAATCCATGGCTTTCGCTTGAACCTCTCGTCTGTGTAGAGAGCTCCTGGAAGAACCCTAAAATCTCGTGAGCAAGTAAGAGCAATCAATACGCTTTTCTCCTACCGTTTAGAAGGATCTGACCATTGGAGTAGTAGCCGATCGATCCGCGATCGCCAAAAGAGGAGCCTCTGACGAGTCCGATCGCTACAATCTGCTCGATTTCGGCGGTGGAATTCCCAGAATTTTGCCTCGCATTCTTGTCAAGATCATGGTCTTTCGCTCCAAGAACTGTGATCTCAAAGTAGGATTCTTGCGGGTAGGAGTAGATTCCCAGGAAGGGGCCAGGGAGCGGCAGCGCGGATTTGAAGAACTGCGCGCTCCCGGTGGATGAAATCTCCGCGATGGGAATCCCCGGATTGGATCGAAGAATTTGCATCAGCTCGGTCCCTGGCCCGACCTCCCACCTTGTCTCCGCGTGAAATCCCTGCTTCCGATGATGGGGACGATGATCCATCCCATGGTCCACCTGGGAGAGGGCAAATGCCGCCCATCCATTCTCGAGCGCCTCGGACATGAGCGCCGGGTAGTCTTTCCAGTTGAATCCAGCGATCTTGATCGAGTTCCAGCTCTGATTCCGCGCTCTGCCGTTGGCACCGCTGCTGCTGTTACCCTGATCGTGCCGCAGGTATGGAGGATTTGGACTCTGCCGGTGCCGCCGCTGCTGATCATCGTCCCGGCCGCGGTTTTTCCGAGCCACGCAGATCCTGATGACGAGGAGTAGGAGCAAGCACGCGACGACGAGCGCGATGCCGGCAATCAGCTCCAGCCCCCAGTTTGCCATCGCGAATTATCGATCATCTGGCCAGGAGAGGAAGATCGTGTCGAAGCTCTCGTGTTCTTGCTTGCTGCTGTTCTTCCTGGCTGTGGCGGTGGTGATGGAGGCGATGGATTCTTCCATCCACCGAGAAAAGAGGAAGGGAGACTAAAGAAAACAAATTGGGCAAAGACACTGTCCAAATTCAACTCTATCGACTCGGCCAGCGGGCTTCGCCGAAGAGAAGATTGGGGAGTTCTTTCAAGTTTCCAGCCAACCCCAATCTAGCAGCGTGAATTTTAGCCGAGCGCACGCGATTAGGATGAGTGATCCAAGCGTGATGTTTGTCGTTGTCACGATTTTTGTCTTTCCAGTACTTTCATTTGGTGGAAAAAGAACTCCGGAGTGGAACGGGAAAGCGCATTGAAGTTTTAAACTAGAATATTCTAAATAGTGTACCCGAATATGCCCATCGCAGACTTTAACTGAAAGGTTACAGGTATGGCTTTTCCTGTGTGTATTAAATTCTCTGTACAAGCAGACACTAGCACTTTGGTTTGGGTATGCTTCGTCCCAAACAAGCATTGGGAGTAAAGAATCATAGACCCCAGAGAGAATGGAATGGAAGGAAAGAGAAAAAGGATAATAGATACCTGCAATCGATTGATCGATCGACGGTGACTCGATCGATTAATCGAATTTTTCCCAGTCGGTGGTGATGTTTGGAGTGCCTTGCGGTGGAGGAGCAGTGAGGCTGCCAACGCCGCTATCGAAAGTTTCCCATTTCGTGGTCACAACGCTGTTCCTGGAGGCCAGAGGATGCGGGATTGAGTTCTTGGTCTTGAGGTTGTCGAGGAAATCGACGTAGTTCTGGACCCTTTTCACCTGGAGTGTCGAGAGGCGATGAGAATGGATCGAGAGATGGAAGATCAAAACTAGTACCTGTATTCGCCTTTGGACTTTGGCCTCGCCATCGGCTTCGATCGCATCCAGCTTGAGCAGCTGCCGCATCATAAGCTCCGTGAGCTTGTCGAGATCTCTCTCGGGGACATTATGAGCGCTCTGAACGGCTGCTTCCAGAGCAGGGATCTGCGAAGCAATCGAAGAATCAGAAGCAGAAAAAAGAAGGAACTTTGGTACCTGTTCGGCGAGCTTGTCAGTCTCGGATCCCACTTCCGCCACGGCCCTGCAAGCCCGCTCCATTTTCTCGTTGCTCCTCATCTCCTCCAGCCTCCTCTCGCGGCTGGCCGGGTCCTCGACAAGGATGATCTTTGCCTTGTCTTTCACACCAGCCAAATGGAGGTACTCGACATCATCCTTTTCCTTGCCTCTGAAGAGAAGCCTCTGTTCGTGCGGCTGGAGGCCCGTCTCTACTGCTACCAGCTTCTTCAATTCGCCTGTTCCATCCAGGACCAAAGAAAAGAAAAATAAAAAAAAACTAGAAATCTCATGGAAATCTCCTCCCCCTCTCTGTCGATCGATCGATCGATTTCTATCCTCTTACCGAATGATGCTTGCGCCGGAACGCTGATCTCATGCGCCTGGAGGCCATGGGAGACCCGGATCTTGATCAAAGGCCCTGCTGGAGTGGAATCGCCATTCTCTCCCTCGCCGGATTGGCGCTTCTGGACGAGCATCCCTCCCGGTCGCAGCTCCCAGGAGATGAGATCGCCAGGATCCCCGGCATTCTCCGTCTTGGAGCCGATCATGACTGATAGATAGATTGCGATCAAACCCTAGAAGAATGAGCCACAGTAAAACCCTGGTACGGTAGAGCTATCCAAAATCTCTCTTAAATATGGCCAATGGCGGCAAAAGGACATTTTTCCCTCTCTTTTCTCTTGAAAAGCCCTAAGAATGTAGCTCTTGGCTAGGGTTCTTCGTTTGCAGAATGCCGAGCTACAAGCTCAAGGGCGTTGACGTGCGCTTCCCCTACGATGCCTACGATTGCCAGCTCGTGTACATGGAATCTGTGATAGCGGCGCTCCAGAAGGTAAGCTCCAGAAGATCGATTGACCGAAATATATCTCGAATCTCACAGGGGCAAAATGCGCTTCTGGAGAGCCCGACAGGGACTGGAAAGACTCTGTGCTTGCTCTGTGCGACACTGGCTTGGCGGGAGAGTCTCGCTCCGCCGGATCGGGGGAGGAGGATGAGCGCCAGTAGTCAATCCAGTGATCTCGATCCCACTTCCTCGCAGGAGGCAAACAAGCTTCCTACGGTAATCTACGCTTCTCGAACGCACAGCCAGCTCCAGCAAGTCATTCACGAGCTCAAGGCGACGTCATACAGGTTTGATTGATCTCGATAAAAGTTTGGGAGCTTATATTCTTTGATGAACTGTAGGCCGAAGATGGTGGCTCTTGGATCGAGAGAGCAGCTATGCATTGAGAAAGATGTGCAAAAATTGCGGGGGAGAGCTCAGAATAATGCTTGTCGTACCTCGTGCAAAGCCCGCAAGTGTTACCACCACACTCGTGTCAATGGTATTTTCCGTTTCATTCCGCAATTTTGCTCTAATATCTCTTGTTCCAGAATACCTCAAAAAAAATCCGGAACTCGGGAACGAACCGATTGATATAGAAGATTTAGTTCGAATTGGCAGAACCCATGGTCCGTAAGTGCCAATCTATCTTATGTCTAAAACGTTATGATTAAATATTTGTTGCAGATGCCCGTATTTCCTCTCTCGAGAGCTTCACGGTTCAGTAGACATGATCTTTGTTCCTTATAACTATCTCATCGACAAGGAAAACCGAAAATCGCTAACCGGAATCCGTTGGGAGAATTCTGTCATAATATTTGACGAGGCTCACAATCTGGTATGTCCTTCGTCATGGTTCTTATCGGAAATGCTCATCTGAATTTCTCAGGAAGGTGTTTGTGCTGATGCAGCATCTTTTGACCTTCCGACGACCACATTATCGGCATGCATCTCCGAGGCTGGCCAATGCGTTGAGCTGGCAACACTTCAGAGAAGCATCAGCAATAATGCAGACAAGTCTGGTGATCCTGAAAACTTCGCTCTGTTGAAAGGTGATGTAGATATTGCTATGTAAAGAAGCTAACTTTTGCGTCTACAGCTTTGTTGTTGGAGCTGAGCAAAAAAATTGACGACATCTCTTTTGATTCGGAAGAGCTAGGTTTCACACGACCAGGATCTTACATTTATGACTTCTTGTCGGAGCTGAAAATTACCTGGGAAACCTCTACAATGCTAACAGATACAATTGATTCTGCTATCAGTCTCCTACAAGAAGGTGCTTGCTTCTCAAGAATTTGACATTTTACCTTTTTCTTGTAGATTCTAGCGCGCCTTCGGGAAAGCCAAAAACATCAACTTGCAAGCTTGAGTTGTTACGAGATGCGTTCCGCACTATATTCAGGGGAAAGGACTCATCTCATGCTACCTGTTACCGTGTAAGCGTTTTCAAAGTCTGTTTAGAGTAACTTTTATTAACTGGCGAATGCTAGGTGCATGTACAAAACTCTTACAGAAGAGCCGAGGACAAGGGATTGAGCAAAGGTTTGTTTGTGTAATCGTTCTGTATAAACTTTGCGTAATATCTATCCTGCTCAGGCGACAAAAAATCACGAACTTTTAGCTGGTGGTGTTTCAATCCCGGAATAGCCATGGAAGAGTTTTCAAAATTGGGAGTTCGTACAATTGTATTAACATCTGGAACGTTGTCCCCGCTTGAGTCGTTTGCCATCGAATTAAAACTGTACGTATATTTTGGTCACGTTCTTGATTGAGTTTTTTTTTTACTATGCAGACCATTCGACGTCCGGCTGGAAAATCCTCATGTGATAGGAGCGAACCAGATATGGGTTGGTGTGGTATCCTCTGGGCCTTCCGGACGGGCTTTAAATTCATCTTATCGAACTCGGGACTCTCCGGAGTATAAAAACGATCTTGGGAATACAATTGGTAACGACAACTTTTTCTTTTTTTAAGCTCACATTCTATCTATTGATTCTAGTAAATTTCGCGCGAATTGTTCCCGATGGTCTACTTGTATTTTTTCCTTCCTACTATTTATTGAACTCATGTGTTGATTCATGGCAAACTCCGGTTAGTAACAATCTCGAGTGAGCAATTCGACTAAGTTATCGGTCACAGAATCAAGTAAATGGACACACGTTATGGGAGAGGATTTGCAAGCATAAGCAACCGGTCGTTGAGCCAAAGGAGTCGGCATTATTCAATCAAGCACACGAGGTGATTACTTTTTATTGCCATGTCCTCAAATTCAGTGTCTATGTTTCAAGGATTTTCTGGCGAAAGTAAAGGATTCAACAGCTACAGGAGCTGTGTTTTTTGCTGTTTGTCGAGGAAAGGTTGGGCCTTGCGTCTTCGTATTTTTCTTCTACGATTTTCGACCGTCTTCGTGTTTAGTCTATTGCCGTTTTCAGGTTAGCGAAGGTTTAGATTTTGCGGATGAAACGGGACGCGCGGTTATTGTTACAGGAATGCCTTTTGCAATGAAGACTGATCCGAAAGTGAGTCCTTACAAATCAGTAACATTGAAAATAGACTTTTCGCTTTTAGGTGCGTTTGAAGAGACAGTATCTAGACGAGGAAGGACGACGAACAAAAACCAGTACCCGTAAGGTACTTGAGATGCTACAAAATCACCTGTAGTAACAAAACCTTTCCAGGTTCTGACTGGAGAGGATTGGTACGTACAACAGGCTTCACGAGCCGTCAATCAGGCTGTAGGACGGGTTATACGACACAAGAACGATTATGGTGCAATCATTCTCTGTGACGAAAGGTAGCTTGCAAAGCTTCTTTTAGTTGCTTTATGTTTGGCAAGTCAGGTTTGCCCAGGCTGGTGCACAAAGTCAACTGTCACTGTGGCTCAGACCCCACGTCAAGGTTTGTAAAACATTATAATTTTCTTGCATATTCACAGAAACATGCAGCTATATTCGAAGTTCGGGGATGCTGCTTTTACATTGACTAGATTTTTCAAGGACAAAAAGCCACAACCGCGGACAATGTCTAAAGTCCAGCAAAACACGTCAAGCTTGCCTGATTTGCCGTGTTTGAACAAAGTTCATCCATTACAAAGTGAACCAAGACAGTCAGCTGTAACGGCATTCATTGCATCAGCTGGTAAGAACACATTGCCTTTGCAAAATTCATTGTTTTTGTTACGCAGTTTCTACGGTGTCTGCGGTACACGAAAATGTTTTCCTGGAGCGTAAAACTATTGATCCCCTAGTACGTAACATAGTTCCATGTTCCTCTATATTAAAAGAAGTTTGTTTTCACAGAGTAAGATCTTTGGGGCCTCTACAAATGAACAGCAGCCACTGTCTGTGGTGCTTGCCGCGAAACGAAATCAGCAGCTCTGCAGTGCGGCAATCAAGCCTGCCAATCGCGCGTTTGGAAGTCGTCCCGAGCTCGTCAAAAACGCCATTAGCGTCTCAAAACAGCGAGGTTCTGATGAGGGTACCGATCGTGTGTCTTCGCCAATAGAAGCTTGCGAGGCCGGCACGGTCGGTACTTCCGCTTTCAAAACTGCTGGAAATTACATTCAAGAGGTAAGCTTTCTTAAGCTATTTAGTGAGGAGAGTTTTAACACTATGCCAGGTGAAAGCTCGTCTCACTAGCCCCGAGTATGAGCGCTTTCTGGCGTGCATGAAAAGCTTCAAAGACGGGACAACGAAGGTAGAAGATGTCTTCACTACAATGTCCGGCATATTTGCGGCTCCCGAGCGCCGTTATCTTCTTGAGAGGTTCGCTGCTCTTTATTCCATTTTCAGACTTATCACTATTTTGCAGGTTTGGTTGCTTTCTACCGAGTCGATATCAGAAAAACTTTGATGAATACATGAGTGCAAATTCAGGTAACGCTTTTTTTATCGAAAGGGAGGCTGATGCGTTTATGCAGGTGATTGTAAGGAATGCTACTCTGGCTTTCCCTTGGGAAGTCGGAAGAGGCAAAAACCATAGCTGATGTATATACCGTACTATGTTTATGTACGGGCATCTAATATATACCTTTCAGCCCTATAGCTAAATCGATGTTTCGGATATCTGGGAGCCATTGTCGAGCGCTTTTCCAGCTCAATTCTGGACGAAAGGTGGGTGTCTGCCTGGTTGACGAGTGATTCTAACGTGTATAACCTTTTCTCAGGCGCGAATGGCAACGATCGCAAGCGCTGGTGCGAGTCAGGCTGTGCTTGACAAGATCAACAATGCGGGGCTACTGCGAGCCAAAGGATTGATCTCTGGTGAATGGGTGTCCGCTGAAGACGGTAGAACGCTGCCTGTAAGATAGAAGATCACTTGGGTTTCGGTCGTAGGAAAGCCGGCTTTACGCCCTTTTATTTGGCCAGGTTTACAATCCTGCGACTGGTGAGTTTTTAACAGAGGTTCCGCTCATGGGGGAAAGAGAGACATTGTCGGCCATCGACTCTGCACACAACGCGTTTAAGTGTACGTAAAATCGTGATCGAACTCCAAGCTAAGTTTTTTTTCTCTTTTCTTTCAGCATGGAGTAAAAAGACATGTTCGGAGAGAAGCAAGCTTCTGCGTAGATGGTGAGGATGGCAAAGGTGTAGTTTCCCTGGGTTTTGAGATAAGCATGACAGGTATGAGCTCATACTTGAGAAAAAAGAGGAGATAGCCCAGCTGATGACTCTAGAGCAAGGAAAGCCTTTGAAAGAAGCCCTTGGTGAGGTAACTCTCTGTCTAGCTTCATGGTATCGAGTTTAGTGCTCTATATTTGCAGGTCTCGTATGGAGCTGGCTTCATAGAGCTTTTTGCCGAGGAAGCAAAGCGCACATATGGCGATATTATACCATCGCCTTATCCAGACCGGCGATTACTCGTTGTAAAGCAGGTACTTCACATTTGAACTACCACGGTCGAGGCAACCTGAAAAATATCTATTTTGTAGCCTGTTGGTGTTGTAGGTACGATAACTCCGTGGAATTTTCCCCTTGCCATGATCACACGCAAGGTAAAGTTTTTCACATCCAGAAAAATATTTATTTTTGTCTCAACCTTGTATAGGTTGCTCCAGCACTTGCAGCAGGCTGCACAGTAGTGATTAAGCCTGCAGAACTTACGCCCTTGACTGCATTAGCTGCTGCAGAACTATCCATTCAAGCTGGTATACCCCCTGTAAGTTTTTCTAACGAATGGTGGACCTTTTATATCAACTGTGTCAATGAAGGGAGTCATCAACGTTGTCATGGGAGATGCTCCGCAAATCGGAGCTGCACTTTTGGAGAGCACTAAGGTACTTAACTTTTGTTTTTTATTCTAACACTGTAAGCTGTAGTAGGTTCGCAAAATCTCATTCACTGGGTCTACACAAGTCGGTAAAAAGCTTATGGCTGGAGCAGCAAGTACCGTAAAGCGGGTACAGCGTTTTCCTTTTCTGTATCTCTCTTATTGCTTGTACTTTTCTGCTTGAACAGTTATCTCTTGAACTTGGTGGAAATGCACCATGTATCATACTGGATGATGCAGACATAGAAGTGGCTGTTAAAGGAGCCGTAAGTACTCTGTTTTGATTGTTTTGATACTTTTGACACAGCCTTTTACTGATTTCTCTTGTCGTGTATCTTTTCCCCATGCAGTTGGCTTCCAAGTACCGGAATAGCGGCCAGACCTGTGTTTGTGCCAATAGAGTCCTTGTCCAAGATGGTATGCCTTTTTAGTACGACCTTTCTTGTTTCTAAGTCTCATTTTTCAAGGTATATATGACAAGTTTGCGGAGGCTTTTATTCAAGCGGTATCTGGCCTTAAGGTTGGAAATGGTTTGGAAGAAGGGGTCACGCAGGTATTGTAGGACTCAAGAGGCTTTGGCGAGCTATTGATGTGGTCTTTTATATACAGGGTCCCCTGATTAATGAAGCAGCTGTGAAGAAGGTAGTGATCTTTTAATGTTTTTCGCTATAAAATTTGTAATAACAGGTAGAGCAACACGTTGAAGATGCATTATCGAAGGTAATAACCCGATATCCGAATAAGCCATGGCCTGATTCTGTGGACTTGGATTTACAGGGTGCAATGCTCCTGGCGGGAGGCCATCGACATAGACTTGGTGCCGCCTTTTACGAGCCAACTGTTCTCGGAGATGCAACAGAAGAGATGCTAATAATGAAGTAAGTTTGCTGCCGGTGAAGTGGATCAGGGACTCCGTTTTTTTTTCTTTTCTTTCTGCAGAGAGGAAGTTTTTGGGCCTGTTGCACCCCTGATCAGATTCAAAACAGACGAGGACGCAATCAGGATTGCCAACAGCACCGAAGCTGGTGAGCTTCATTCATCTTTGGAATTTCCTGTCATTCATTTGGCACATCTTCAGGATTGGCTGCGTATCTTTTTTCGGGAAGCATCTCTAGAGCTTGGCGTGTGGCGGAGGCATTAGAATATGGAATGGTTGGTTGGAACGAAGGAGTGATTTCTACGGAGGTAGATTTACGCGTTTTTGGAGTTCGTTTTAAAAACTTTCTGGTCCAGGTCGCTCCATTCGGTGGTGTTAAACAATCCGGGCTTGGTCGTGAGGGATCCAAATACGGAATCGACGAGTACTTGGAGGTATGATCAAAGGAATGAGGTTTCTCGTTTTAAATTTCTTTCTTCTTTCTGCAGATGAAGTACATATGCATAGGAAATATGTTGCCTTGATTGCTTTTAAATTCTTATTGTTATATATGATTGCCAAGAAAAGAAACTACTTGAACAATTGTTTTTTCCTGTTGTTCTTTCCTATTTCTAATGGTGTTTGTTATGTAAATTTTTATTTTTTATCCTTTTATTCAAGGATTTTGCTGCTTGTTTACAGAGCAAGATCCTTTACATGCCGGGAGGATTTGCGCTAAATTTCTCATTCTCTTGGGTCCATGTTTATTCTTGCCGGGTGATTTCACTTTTGAAAGTAATGATTATTCTAAGGATATTCTTGAAAAGGGGTGTAGGGTTTATAAGCCGATGACATAGCTGCTGCTGCTGCTTTGGAATAGGACGGAGCTCTTGACATGGAATTGGGCGGATCAATTGGTGCAAGTCCAGTTTTTGTTTTTTCCCAATTCACTGATCCTTTTCCGGTCTAAAGGTTCTACTTTAGTGGAAGCTCGATCCTCAAGTACGTAAATGGATTGTTGGAAATTCCTCCAATGCTAAAGAGGAATGCTTTGTTTTTCAGCTTCTCCCGAGTGTAAGCGCCTCGTCGCTTGGATCGATGGCTATGAACGCGGCGCAACGAATCTAGACGACATTGTCGCGTCCGGCTTGTTTGCAGCTCCCGAGCGCCATGATCTCCTCGAAAGGTTTGCTGCGGATCTTTCAGCACATCGTATCGTTCTCTTACCGGAACACTTCAGCTTTCGTGGCTTGCTACCAAAGCGGAAGTTTGATGACTACGATTTGGCTACCATTAGCAGCGCGGATTCTGGTACTGGTGTTTGTCGAGGTTTTTGTGTGAAGCAAACGATTTACAGGTGATATCCAGGAGAGCCATGATAAGTTGAAAGCTGCCACAGATTTCATTCAAGAGGTGATCTAGCTCTGTTAACCGAAGATTTTAAGATTGTTGGTTTGATCGCTTTCAATACGATACCAGGTGAAAGGTCGTCTCGACGCCCGCGATTATCAGCTCTTCATTGAAGGTCTTAAATTTGACGAATATGTGCCTACTGCAAAAGGTATGGTCTTTTTCTTTCAAGGACAAAGAATATTTTTAAAAACAATTGTGTGGTGCTTGGCATGTAAAGCACGGAAGAGGTTTAAAGCTACAAGCCCAACATCCAGCTGCTCATCAACATTTGCAACAATAGAGGGAGGAGTTTGCATATTGGATGTCTTGAGAGGCCTAGAAAGACTTCAGAGTTGATTTGAATGCATGTTTTTTTTGTCTGAGATATTCGTCAACTTCATAATAGTAACAAAACAAAACAAAAAAATCTCTCTTCATATTTAAAGACCTTTATTTAAATTTACGAACATATGACTGATTCTTTAAGTATATTCTTATTAATTACTTTCTAGAATTAATGATTTAATCAATGGATAATATGGTTTTTTCCAATTTGATGGCTCGTAAATAATTATCAATAATCCTAATATATATATATATATATATATATATATATATATATATATATATATATATATATATATAGTAAAATATATTTCACTTAAATCCATACTTATAAAGTAAAAAAAATTCAAAATGTTTTCAAATCAAATAGAGTTGATTTAATCAAATTTTTTTCATTTAAACCTTATCCAAAAAATAAGATAGAAAACTACTAACTAAAATGAACACATTCACTAAATTTAACTTTAACTTTCTTTAATGTTTCAAATAATAAATAAAAAATTATTTCATAAAAAACATTTAGATTTTTTAAGATTCAAAATAAAACAATCATCATCATCATCATCATACTCATATATTTAAACGAAAGAGCCGGTATAATAATAGCATATGCTGGGGACACTTATTCTGGGCATATGCCAAAATCTAACGGCTGAGATTAAACAATGGAGAGTCGTGACTTTTGGGATCATAAAAAATTTCAAATGTCTTTTAGGGCGCGTGACAAGGAGAGAGCGTCGATCATCGCTAGCAGGAAGGTACTCTCTCTCTCTCTCTCTCTCTCTCTCTCTCTCTCTCTCTCTCTCTCTGTGCCTCTGTCTTCATTGTCTTCATTCATTCAATGAGGTCTTCATTGCAGAGCACCTCAAAGCTACAGTCAGCTGTACGTGAAGAACTGAAGCTGCCACTGGTTGGTTCATTCTTGAGTTCAAAAGCTCAGGATAATGGCCACGCGCTGGAAAATGACAATCATTTAACCGACGCCAAAGCATTCTTCAACAGGAGAATTATCGAGTGAAGAAACAAGTCTCACTTATGGAAAAAGTACTCAATGCAGAATATCATCTGGTAAAAGAGCCTTGACCCCCCTATCTTCGTCCCTGCGATTCTAACTTGAGATGTTCCAGGATGACCAAGATATTCTGGCCAATCGCAGCAACGGCGGCGTTGGAGCCTGG